GTATTTACATTATTATAGGTCTTATGTATTGCCCTGGAAATCAGCTTTGAAGTGGAATGATGAATAAATGAAAATTTATTATTACTATCCTTATTAGAGGGATTTTAAAGTCATTAGAGACCAACAAGACATAATAATCATATTATATTCAATCTTCTCTAGAACATCTCCTTTGATAGGCCTGTTAACTCAATTATTTAAATATATATTACAGCAAAATGCAGCATGCCTTCTACAGTTTGGGATTAGATGGAAATTTTTGTTTTGTTTTTAGTTAACCAGATTTTTTTCATAGAGAATTCAGGGGTTTCACAGTGGGTTTCTTGGTTTTAAACACTAGAGTTTCCCATTTACAGTGAACACCTGGCTCAATGTGTCTACTCAACTGGAAAACAGTTTAAAAGCTGGGGAGGAAATAAGGCACTGGAGCACAATTTTAACCTGCAGTGACTTTTAAAAGTAAAAAAAGAAATCATCACAGATGCAGTGATCCCTCAGATAGTCAACAGACTTAGCTTCAACCAGCCTCACTAGGAAAAGAAGGAAAAAGCATCTGGAGGCCATGAGGAAGAACACAGGCAGAACTGCACTGCTCTGAGATGTTCAGAAAATGGTCTCTGGATCCAAAGTGACATCCACAGTTGAGCAAAACCTACTGATTAGAAAAAAATTCCAAATACTGTATACCTGGAAACTACCTCCTTTTTTAATAAAAATCCTAAGACAAACATGACAACCCCCTGAAAGGAAGAGGAAAAGTGCTGAGGGACTGGGAATGTGTTCACAGCAACGGAAGTCGAAGTTGGCAATGCAGGTAATGGTGCTGTTCTGGCAACTTCTGCAACTTGGATGGAGAATTGTTATCCGAGGCACAGAGAGCAAGGAGCTACGCAGGAATTACTTAGGTCCTTTTCACCCTTCCTTTACTCATGAAGTCCTGTACCATGATCTTACCTCAAATGAGAAGCTTGGGGACACAACCATTTACACAGTTCTGAGACCACCTTGATGTCTTCTTCAGTTCAGATGACTACAGGACTTCTTTCACAGCAAAAAATACATGTTTAACTACAACCAGACAGGCCTTCTCTCTTCCCCACCAGCACACTCATCCTAGTTACAGCTCTTTTCCATGAGGTACAAGAGGGAACTTTACCACTCCAGGCTATGACTAACCCCTTGTTCTCTGCCCTCCAAAACTTCCATCATTATTCAGCCCTGACGGCAGAGATGGGCAGAGTAGCCACCGGCTCTGTACCACTCTAGTCTGGCACTGGCAGTTCTTACTGCCCAGCTGGTAATGATGACCCTCTAGTTCATTCCTCAGTAACTCCACTTCCTACATGTGGAGCTGCAGTTACAGCAATGGACCAAAATGGGAAAGCTCTTGAGCACCAGAGAAGATGGAGCTCACAGAAAATCACATGAACATCTATGTTTATTTGCGGAAAAAAGGGTGGTATGTGGGAAAGCAAAAGGTTTTTCAGCTGTGTGGCTACTGCTTTCAACCACACAAGACAAAAATCCCTAAGCAGCAAAAAACTCCATCAGCCTAAGGCAAAGGTAAGAGCAAAACTAGCTAGAACCAAAAAAAAGTATTTTCATACCTCCCTTCACTCAAAATGACCTATCTAATGCAAAAGCAACATGGACAGTACAATCCTTACTGTTGACTCTGCCTGCCTGCAACTTGTCTGGAAATCATAGAATCCTAGAATGGTTTGGGTTGGAAGGGACCTTAAAGATCATCTAGTTCCAACCCCCTGCCATGGGCAGGGACACCTTCCAATAGACCAGGTTGCTCCAAGCCTCATCCAGCCTGGCCTTGGACACTTCCAGGGATGGGGCATCCACAGCTTCTCTGGGCAACCTGTCCCAGTGCCTCACCACCCTCTCCGGGAAGAATTTCTTCCTGATATCTAATCTAAACCTCCTCACTTTCAATTTAAACCCGTTACCCCTTGTCCTGTCACTACAGGCCCATGTAAAAAGTCCCCTTTGCAAGTTGTTGAAAGAAGACAGACAAGTACTGTTTTCATCTCGGGTGTTAGGCAAACAGCAAAGGGCAAGACACTATAAGCCACACCTTTCAGATCACACCAGCAGCCCAGGGAAGGCTGCACAAGCACTGAGGTATTTTCCTTTAATTCTGTCACTGCTGTTCAAGTCCTTCAGGATTTTTTCCATGTGTGAAACGTCGGAAGCAATCTGAGCTACTACAGTGATGAACCTGCTACTTCTGCACAAGTGCTTTATGCCATGATTCTCCAAATGTGAGCACTCAAGTGTTCATCATCTAAGAACATCAGTTATGGATACTAATACGCTCAGGAAGTTATCAATGCTGTCGCTACATCAGCCACCTCCCAACCTCACTTGTCATCTCCATTCCTTTTACGTTTCTGCCTCCTTCCCCAAAACCTCGTATTGATTGCCTCGAATTCCCTTCCCATTACATTCCTGCCCCTTTTGAACCATCTGATTTCCCTTCCACTCACCTTGGCCTTGCCCTGCCTACTCATTCTGCAGTTAATTTTTGATCCCTACAGGTTGCTGAGACACTCTGCTCTTGGCCACTGGCTGGATAAGACACTTCCGTCCCTTCCCAGCAATAAGCAAGGAAACATTCAGCAGCTCTTGGCACCTGGAACTGGACAGGGGAATGCACGATGGATGTGCTGCAGTGCTTTTTAACCTTCGATGACTGTGGATACTCCTGTATCTCTGGGAACTTACTCTGCTAAGATTTGTCATCCTAGCTGAGACTGTGTTCAAATCTAGCACGATTATGGGTTCCTTGCAGGGAGTTGATGATGGCAGCCCTCTGATATGGCACTGACCTCCTCCTTGGTAGCTTAAGGAATAACTCTGCAGAATGTGTTACACAGAATTAATTTGGGACTAACAACATGAAAGTTTAATGGAAAACGAAGTGGGCAGCATACTCTGAGCTTTCAGATCTAACTCCTAATAAACCAATGCAATTACCACTACAATTTCCCATATGGAAGAACGGGGGGAAGGAATAGTATTATGAAAGAGCTGTAGGCATTTCCCAAGTCCAGAAGATTATCAAGAAGGACCATAAATATGATGTTAAGGTGTAATTTTCTTGCCTCTCTTTTTTATATTAAGAAATTGTGGTCAAGAACTATGCAAGGCACTGGACGAGAAGTAAATGGCTTCCTGCTTCTGGGCATCTAAGCATCGAGCTGATCATTTATAAGTCCCAAAAGGGCAGTAGTAAAGCCAGGTACACTCCAACTCACCTTTTTCATACACCCAATTCCAGGTCTGGAGGCTGTTTCTCAGCAACAAGGGAACAACATGGCTTTTGTGCTCATTCTGGTTACCATTCAACACATCGTTTAAGTCACAAACTCTGACTCTTTGCTAAAAAAGGATCAGTCAACTGGATCTTTAGCAATGACAAGCTGCGTACCTGAACTAAAGTATGTGCCAGAAAATGGTTAACAGCAGGTAGTATTTCTGCTATTGACAGGTTTCTGTAAAATACGGAACCATTAACGGCTCTCAAATGTATCCCAAAATAGCTACATGATACCGCTGACACCAGTCCAGCTCCATATGTGGGAGCCCTTTAAAATCCCTTCAGTCTTCTTGATCCTCTGCCTCCAGAAGTTACTCTAGGTTTCTTGTCATTAAAATTATGACCTTTGGCTCACAGCAGGCAGTTAAAAAAAAAATAAAAATAATTAAAAAAGAGACGCATATTGCCAAACTTCTCACCAAATATTAGTTAAAATATAAACTCAAATTCCTTTGAGAAACTAAGAGCTTTTTGTTCATAGCAGCCCTTAAAGCCTGTTTTAAGTAAAAGCAACATACTCAACTCACGATTTCATACCCAGTACATCTCAGTTAGTGAGGGGGCATGTACAGGAAAATAACCCGTCACTTAGGCCTGAAGTTTGCTGAACAACTATTTTCTCCTCAGATTATGCCTCTGGGTATTCTTACTTTGGGATTCACTGCTGGGATCAAGCTAGCTCCCAGAAAGGCTGAAAAAGTGAAGTACCATTGCTTTTGAAATTAAAGAGAGGTATTTTTTGCTGCTAGATGCGTCATTCCCACTTCTACACAAACAATTGCTATAAAAACCACCAGAGAAGAGAAGTTTGGCATACTCAGTATCAATGTACCTATTTTAAGAACAACAGGAATAAGTTAGCTTATTCACAGCTGACTTAACTTTCAGATAGATATCTGGGCAGAGCTAAAAATCTCATTTCTGAACAGTCTTCCAGATAATTCCTAGCATTTAAAAAAACAAACTAGCGTTTAGAGCACTACCTAAAAACCTCTTTGCATACACTAACAGAACCGAGGAGGGAGGGGAGGGGCAAGAAGAGAAAAATTATGAAGCTGGCTATATGTTTTAACTTTTGTAACTTTCCTGAAGTGACTGTGATAATACCTGGATCGTAAATCAGGCTTCCCACACAGTGAAACAGGAGTTTTCACCCCACATTCAGAGCTTCCCATTACCAATGAATCCCTCACAGAAGGTTATTTCTAGTTTCACTGTATGTCCAAACCCTGTTTGCTACAGGATTTCAGAAATAATTTTTTTATTGCTTTACAGGAAAACAGTATTGAATTATTTTTCTTACTGAACAGATTTTTATTTTTAGGAAATGAGTCAATTATTTTGGCACCTAATGACATATATAACAGAGGCACATATACAAATGTGGGGGTTGTGCAACTCATTGTCTTTGAACTATTCCAAGATGCATGGACTTAAGGACAGTACGGTACTATATGTTGCTTGCAGTGTTAATTTTCTACTAAGGATTTCACCCTGACCTCTGTTTCAGGTGTCATGATATTGTCCCTTGGAGGGGCCAACTGCACCATCACAGTGATTTATTCTAACATGCATTTTCTTCTGTGTTTTGTGAAAAGTTAAGGCTCCCAAATATACCTTCCAGAACATCCATGATGTTGGGAGAAAGATGAAATCCTGCAACACTTACCACCAAACACATCTCCGTTCTGATAGTTCTTCCCCTTCTGAGTTTCCTCTTCATTTTGAACAGTAGAAACATGCTTGGCGGAGGCACAGCCCATAGCTTCATTCAGACAGCTCCAGCTGGACCGAACCACAAATCATGTCTAGAGACGCATGCTCATTGTTTGAAAAATAATCCACCTTCCCGCGTGGTTGTCAAGACACTTTTACCTAAAGATGGCAAAAAAGAGAGAGAATGATATTGACAAAAGGTAACCTCTAAATGTCGAGCTTCAAGAAGTCAGTGGGTTTTGTGAAGAGAAGTCCAAGAGCACAGGCTGTCTCCACCGCCTTTGGCTGTTAAAACATATGAGATACACATCTGACATCAGCAGATCATGACATAGGTAGACTGATCCCGCCTTAGGACAGGAACTCAAAATCTCCTCCTGCCCTATTCTTTAATCCGTAGCTTGAAGAAAGCAACATGCGCACATACGTATTTCCTCCAGAACACTGGGGTTTTCTGGAAAGAAAATAAGAAACTGGCAGTATCGGCTCCTCTTGTTCCTTTTTCCATCAAGCCAGATTTCTTACAGTGTTTTGTTGAATAAGAGCTGCTAATTGCAAGTGTTCAGACTAACGACCTCCCCTAAATCCACTAAAGATTTTATGTAAATAGATGTGAAAGGTGATCGCCAGCTGTATTATCTTTTTTCTACATGATTGTTACTCTACAGGATCCATAAAACCTCCACCACTCAAAAAGGCAACTATCCCCATTTTGAAATGGAATAATACTCTCTGAACAATCCAGGTATCACGTAAAACAAAACAGGGAAGAAAAAGCCAGTTTATAGCTGCAGTATTTTATATTAAAAACCAAAAACCCACAGCCCCACAAACTGTTTAATGACCAAATGGTTCCATGCTCAAACAAAACTAACTTCAGAGCTGGGCGAGATGAGCGGGCTTGCCTTTCCACCAGCCAAACCTTTTGGAAGAGGAGAAGAGCTAGAGGAAAAGGAGAAGCACCCCTTTTTACCGAGCTGTTTCGTTCAGCTATAGCACAAGACCATACACACAATTTCTTAACTCAGTACTGGGCATTTAGTTAAACGATGTGGCCCGTTTTACTCCATGCCGACCACAAGAATTTTATCTGTAACAGCAGAAGGGCACTCTTGCCTAGGATACAGCAGTGTCCATCCCACCAGAAACGTATAACCCCAAAGAAAACCTTTAGAGCTGTATTTCCCTGCGGGTTCAGCACAAACCGTACGCCTGCCCGTGCCAAGGCAGCATGGTGACAAATCAGGACACGGTTAATGGGGCCTCCACACCCACCCTCAGAGGGATTTCTCTACCCATCACCAGTCTCAGAAATGAGGATGTGGCCAGCCAGGCTGAGAGCAGCTCTGCCTCTGCCACTGCAGCCACAGGTTCTCCGAGAGGCAGCTTTTACCATGCAAGGGGAAGGACTCTGGATGCAGAACCACCTCTCACTCCGACTCACAGACCAGCTTCCACCTTCCATCGTGCTCTGCACAGAACAGTACTTCTATTTAACGAGGCCATTTCACTCAACAGGTACCACCCGCCCCATCACACCTCCACGTGCATTTTTTTTCTTCATGTTCAGTATATTCCCCAACATGCTTTCTCCTTTTATCCTTCCTCCTAGAAATTTATGCTCAAGTGTGCACTTCTGATTACCCCATCCCTCTCTCCTCTCTCAGTTGCAGCTAGCTACACAGCATTTTAAACCAGACATTCATGCTGCCACTGGAAGGGAGCGAGAAGATCCCCCTTGAGCTATTTTTGTAACCCTATCTGGTTATATATGTTAGTTTTCTTTAGAAAACCTAGGTTTTTCAGCAAAAGTCAGTATTAAGCTAGGGAAACTTTCTGCTTCCTCTACCAAACTCCAAGGCTATAATTCAAACCATTTTAATCTGTCTGCTTGTCAGACGTACAGGCAGAGCTACAACCCTGCTAAGAATCAGACCATTCTCAAGAGCCCTCTGTGCACACCCACGCAGACAATATCCAGACCAGGCCATCCTAATCACACTGCCACACGCAGTAAATACCCATACACTCATTTTACTATATTAGTTGTTGCAACGCAGCGAAGGTGGTGGCTGACCATTCATGCTGGCGCGTGTCCAAACGGCGTAACAGCCTGCGTTCAGGTAGCAGGTCTCTGTCCCGCTGCTGGGGTGGGGAAGCAAAGGGTACGTAAGGATTTCAAGCATCAGCCACACTGTGCTTGCTCAGGAGGCGCAGCAAAACACAGAGAGGTATGGGAGAGGGAGGAGAAAGAGCAGACTGCGAAGGGGAACAGCTAACTGCACTGGGAATGAAATGCGGATCGCGAGCTTTCTTAGAGGAGGCAAATTTGCTTAAAGATAACAACTTTTAATAGACCAGCTAAAACCAATGAGGGGGGAAAGCAATCAAATGTTTTGCAACAGAGTTCCTGTTTCAGATTTCAAATAAAAGCAGGAGCCTCAAGGTAAGCAGAGCCTAAAAACCATAACTTTGATTTCTGATTAAAAATATAACTAGTTATATTGCCCATGGGAAAAGCATGTGGCCAGCTCTGGAGACCTGATGTAACCCCGGGAAAGACAAGGAGTGTATGTGGGACTGCTCACAGGCTGGACAGGGGGGAAATCCCTTGTGCTGGTTCAAGGCAGGGATGAGCTGCTCTCCTGGGGCCAGTCCACAAGATTTTGTTTCATTCCATAATACATCAAGCTGAGTGCCAAGTCACCTCCGTACCCGCGGCAACGGGAGCCGGCCGGGGAGGGGGAGAATTTGCAAGGCGACCCGGAAGGCATTAGCAACAGCACTGTTAGTAACTCCGTAAGTTTCATTTATATCATTAAATAGTTCTTATCTCAACTTCTACGAGCCTCTCTGGTTTTCCTCCAACCCCTCCTCACTGGGAGTGGTAGAGCAACTGGTGGTGCTTAATTGCCTGTCAGGGCTAAACCATGACATCCCAGCATACCACAAACCCAGCATCTCCGTCACAGAACAGCCAAACTGCACTCACAGAAGTACCTGCTGAGTGAATTATGCTGCTGCCATATTCAATTCTTTTTCCTCTTTTTCTGTCTCTCAGTGGGGACCATTTACAGCCAGGAAATAGCTGCGTGGTCATAAAAACCACGTGTATTTCATAACACAGCACTGTGTTAGTTTTGGGGAGGGGTAAAGCCTTATACCCAGCCAGCATGCAGCAACATAAACTGGTAAGTACTCCATCGTTGATTAGGTCCCAGGAGGGTGATGGTCCTGTCACCCACGACCAGCAGGCGATTGGGAGCAGAGAGACACAGAACATGCATGCAGAAGGATAAAGCTTTTTTACGGAGGGAAGGAAAAAATATCCAGTCAAATCTGTGCTGCTATATCTTGATAGCACACACCAACCTTACTAAAAATACGGTCATGTGTGAAGGCACACTGTGATTAAAGGAAACAAACAGGACTGCAAGAACTGGAAGTTTTACCTTTTACATTAAGGAACAGTAGTCACAGCAAAAATACCTGACATAACTAATACTTGGATTATGGCAGCAATCCTGGTGACAACAAATTGGGCTGAGAAAGCCCCTCCAAAATGACCTCCAAGGTAAGTCCAACACGCATTTCTAGGCACATTTCTTGGACTACTGTAAACATAGTGCAGCGAGACAGACAACACTGACACAGATAACTAACATAATCCAGAATTAGCAGAGGATTTAAAACAAAAAAGGAAAACAAATAAAAAAAGAAAGAAAGAAAGAGAAAGAGAGAAAAACAGCATTAATTTTACAAGAGATGAAATCTGAGATGAATGACACTGTGATGCTCCCCAGCCTTCGCTGTCTCCAGCCTCAGGGAAAGCTCTCTTGCCCAAGTACCAAAGCCCACAGGGATGAGGTTTGGGTACCGCTCAGAAATGAGGTGCCGGTTCTCATTCAGTGGGATGCCTGCAGAGTTTTCTGAGGATGTAAGATGCAGTACTTCAAACTGCAGCAGAGTAACACAGCTGTTCTGCCTCCTCCCCCACTTTTGCACAAATACAATTTTCCCTTTTGTCTTCCTGAGCATTTTGGGGGCATGCAGATTTTTAGAAGCCAAAAATAAAAAGAATAAGAGAACCATTTGCAGTTCATCTTCACCACCCACCATCATTAATTATCAAGATTTGAGAGGCAATTTACAAGCTCCAATCTGCAAAACACTAGTGAGAAAAATCTCTCTGCCAGATCAAAAGTGTCTACAGCACCCTGAAATTAAATGCGGCAGGTTTAAGATTAACATCTTACGTGCAGGTCAAGAGAAGATGACTACAGACTCTCAGATGCTGTACTTTGTACCCCAAGTTTCTTCTGAGCTAAAAAAAAGGGGAGCTCAATTCTTAGAATAGAGATTGCTGTTGGAAATCTCAAGCAATTTTTTTGAGGCATGTCTATATTGTGCTTTTTCTTTTACCAGTTCTTTCAACACTTCATTAATCCATTCGTCGTGCCTTCACCTCATTTCTGATGGCTGCATCCATGGCTGCATCCTTGACAAAACCCATTTTGCTTCCACAGCTGAAAAGCAAACCCTTAACAGTACATGGAGGATCTCCAATGTTTTACAACAAATGTATGCTAATTCTTCTATTACCATAGGTGTATTTGTTTTCATCTTTATTGCACTGAGATAACCAATCTTTCATCTTCTTCAGACTGCAGATAGATCTAAGTTTCCTTCCATGTTGACCACACAGGAAATCAGGTTAAAATTTCACAAAGCTTAAGAGATCAAAGCAAATGAGCTTCATGCAACCATGAAAAAACCCTAAGCTACAAAGAAAAAAAAAAAAAAATCACACTGACTGCCCTATAATACAACCTAGTCTAGACAGAACCCAAGGATTTAACTTACTGCTATTAATTACACTTACTGCCTATAAGAATCTCCCCCTCCCCTCCAAAAAAAAAGAAAGAAAGCAGCAATGTGTTCTGAATTTGCCCCCCCCCCCGCCCCGGGGAGGGTCGTTGGATGTCCACCACCTGGGAGCCCTCCATTCTTCCTCAGCTGCCCTCTAACACCTTTGCCAGAAAAGATG